GACTCTGTTTCCAGTCAGTACTGGTTAATAAGACCTGGACTCTGTTTCCAGTCAGTACTGGTTAATAAGACCTGGACTCTGTTTCCAGTCAGTACTGGTTAATAAGTGTGAAGTATATTATCGCTCTTAAATTCTTATTTTGTTAACGTGGAAATTTCTGTTTCCACAATGTGTGCAGATATGTTCTCGTTTGTTCCGGTACGGCATTGAGCAGAGCCATAGGAGTTCGAATAAACATGGCGACATCCGCCTATAGATAATACGAACGCTTCGTTATTATCCATCCACACGAGGAGTGCTGCGCTACTACTGCAATCAACCTCAACAGGTTATGGGCTCAGGTGAGATGGAAATAAACCAAGATTAAGCTACTTGAAAAAAGTTTAAATGCGAGGGAGTGACGCTATGAAGCTGTGCGCGGGAAATTAGCACAACAAAGCCAGTGAGCTAAGTTAGCAGCAAAGGAAGTTTAACGAGCAATAAATTAAGAGAAGATGATGAACAGAGGAGCAAATATCTCCGTATCCCCGCTGTTCTTTAGTGGATGTGAGGAGAAATACGACTTATGGGAGACAACATTCCTTGCCAACCTGCATGGTCTGAAGCTGAAAGAAACTATCCTACATGAGCCCGCCACCGAAGATAAAGGACTAGCTGAAGATAGACGGAAAAATACAGAGTTAAAGTGCTGGATGATAAAAGCCTTCCCCTGATAAGACATGAAGCTGGAGACAACGGTAGGAAAGTTCTCAAAATTCTAAGAGAACGATATTCTAGGAAAAGTAAGCCTGGAATAATAAATCTGTATACATCACTGACGAAGCTGCACATGGCGAGCACAGACAGTGTTACAGACTATAATATAAGAACTGAGAACCTTATTACAGCTTTAAGAAGCGCAGGAGAAAGCATGAGTGATGGACTGATAGTGGCCATGGTATTAAACGGACTTCCTGAATCCTTTAAACCACCTGCTGTCCACATAACATAAGATGAAGATAATATTAGATTCGCAGACTTTAAGAGAAGACTTAGAGTTTATGAAGAAACTGAAAGAATGAAAACAGAAGAATCAACTGACAATGTTATGAAAACGTGTACAAGACAGTATAAAAGTTACACTAAACAGCACACTAGCAACAAGAAAAATGAAGATGTGACATGCTAAAAATGTGGGACAAAATAAAGTCAAGATGTAAGGAATCATGGTCGATGCTGGAGCAACGTCACATATGGTGAACCACGTCAACAAGTTTAAAAGTTTTGATGAGACTTTTAGACCCAAGTCACACACAGTGGAGTTAGCTTATGGGACCAAGTGTACAGGAATGCCGGAGAGAAGAGGGACAGCCATAATCTACCTACTGGACAACAGAGGACAACAACAAAAAGCTCAGCTGAGGGATGCACTCTACATGCCTTCTTATCAACACAACATCTTCTCAGTAGCAAGAGCAACAAAAGGAGGAACGATCCTCACATTCAAAAGGGAGGACAGTCACATGACCACTAAAGATGGTAACAGGTTAGACATTTATGAAAATGGAAATCTTTATTATTTACCAACTGTTGAGACATCTGATAATCAGTGTAAAGTGGTCAATGACTTGCAAACTTGGCATGAAATATTGGGTCACTTTAACTACGGAAACTACAAAATGTTGCAAAAAATTCATACAAAACCGGAACCGAGAACCAGACAGAAAGGCAAAGAAAACTTTAGAACTAATACATAGCGACTTAAATGGACCAATGCAAAATACAAGTTTAGAAGGACACAAATATGTACAATCTTTTACAGATGACTACTCAGGCATGATTTGTGTGTACTTCCTTAAAAGCAAAAGTGATGCGGTCCAAGCAACAGAAAGGTTCTTACCCTGAAATCCCACATCCTCCGTCACCGCTTCGCTCCACTCCGCTGCTCTCCAGACCATCTGAGCAAAGCAAAGCCTCCAGCTTCCGCTGTTCCTCCCGTCATGCTCCGCTCCGACTTCCTCAGAGTTTGAGGAGAGCATGGGCGGTATTATTAAATTCAAAGCAGCAAAACATGGCAATGAACCAGTGTTTCCGCGGAACATTAGAAATCATTTATTTTAATTGAGGCCTTAATTGGCACAAAAATTATGAAATATGTTTATCGTGGCTTTTGAAATGCTTTATTAAAATTGTTTCTAAAAACAATTTGGTCAGATATATTATGTTGCGATTAATTTGCGTGGAACTGTTTCCACAGGTCGTGGTGAAGATGACTTCCTTACTCAGAGAGAGTTCTCAGCATGCTCAAAGGCTCCTGGTGGTGGAAGGGAGAAACACAAAAGACAAGACAAACAGACGAACACAAAAACTGGGATCCTGACAATCGTATAGTTTTCTGTTTTTTTTCTTATACAATATATATTTAAAATGAGTTTAATACAATTTCTTTTTGTTTTTGTTTTTGTTCTTTTCTATATAAATCAAACAATTTAGAAAAACAGACAGCAAGTAAAATTAATGAAATAAATTATTAGATAACTTAAAAGCAAAGCAAAAAAAGTAAACATAAAAACAACTAACAAGTAAACTGAGAGACACTGTAAACATAACTGACAACTGTATCAAACATAGTGTTAAACATAACTGACAACATAAATTACTAACATTTAATGTAATATAATTACCTGTAATAAATGGTAGAGAAAAACAAATACTTTGGTTAGCCTCCCCTCTGGTTCACCAACAGCTGTAATGAAATAAAAAGTCCAGTAATCCCTCGGATACCCAACTCCAACAGTACAAAGAAGATAGCCAGACCGGAGCACTCGCCAAAGCTGGGGGCCGAACGGGATTCTGTGGAATTGTCAGCCGTTCCCCAGTATTTATAGGCCAACCAGTAGGGGGCGCCAAAAACAACTCATCACAAATGATTATAAAACATATTTTAGTAGAATTTAATCTGCATCTTCTAAAACCCTGTGGAGTAAAAATGAGCGCTGATAGTTGATATTCAAGTAAGAAAAATTTTTATTCAGCTCTGCAGAGGAGAACGACACAAACAGCTGGATACAGCTCTCAGTGTGATTCTGAAGCATTCAGAAACACATCCCTACATTT